AGAGAACTGTAGTACAGTGTAGCTATACGCCATTAACGACTGTAGAGAACTGTAGTACAGTGGAGTTATACACCATTAACGACTGTAGAGCACTGTAGTACGGTGTAGCTATACACCATTAACGACTGTGGAGACCTGTAGTACAGTGTAGTTATACACCATTAGCGACTGTAGAGAACTGTAGTACAGTGGAGTTATACACCATTAACGACTGTAGAGCACTGTAGTACGGTGTAGCTATACACCATTAACGACTGTGGAGACCTGTAGTACAGTGTAGTTATACACCGTTAACGACTGTAGAGAACTGTAGTACGGTGTAGCTATACACCATTAGCGACTGTGGAGAACTGTAGTACAGTGTAGTTATACGCCATTAACGACTGTGGAGAACTGTAGTACAGTGTAGTTATACACCATTAACGACTGTAGAGAACTGAAGTACAGTGTAGTTACACACCATTAACGACTGTGGAGAACTGTAGTACGGTGTAGTTATACACCATTAACGACTGTAGAGTACTGTAGTACAGTGTAGTTATACACCATTAACGGCTGCAGAGAACTGTAGTACGGTGTTGTTATACACCATTAACGACTGTAGAGAACTGTAGTACGGTGTTGTTATACACCATTAACGACTGTAGAGAACTGTATTACAGTGTAGTTATACACCATTAACGACTGCAGAGAACTGTAGTACGGTGTGGTTATACACCATTAACGACTGTGGAGAACTGTAGTACAGTGTAGTTATACACCATTAACGACTGCAGAGAACTGTAGTACGGTGTTGTTATACACCATTAACGACTGTAGAGAACTGTAGTACGGTGTAGTTATACACCATTAACGACTGTAGAGAACTGTAGTACAGTGTAGTTATACACCATTAACGACTGTAGAGAACTGTAGTACAGTGTAGTTATACACCATTAACGACTGTAGAGAACTGTAGTACAGTGTAGTTATACACCATTAACGACTATAGAGAACTGTAGTACAGTGTAGTTATACACCATTAACGACTATAGAGAACTGTAGTACAGTGTAGTTATACACCATTAACGACTATAGAGAACTGTAGTACAGTGTAGTTATACACCATTAACGACTATAGAGAACTGTAGTACGGTGTAGTTATACACCATTAACGACTATAGAGAACTGTAGTACAGTGTAGTTATACACCATTAACGACTGTAGTTATACACCATTAACGAGTGTAGTTATACACCATTAACGACTGTAGTTATACACCATTAACGACTGTAGTTATACACCATTAACGACTGTAGTTATACACCATTAACGACTGTAGTTATACACCATTAACGACTGTAGTTATACACCATTAACGACTGTAGTTATACACCATTAACGACTGTAGTTATACACCATTAACGACTGTAGTTATACACCATTAACGACTGTAGTTATACACCATTAACGACTGTAGTTATACACCATTAACGACTGTAGTTATACACCATTAACGACTGTAGAGAACTGTAGTACAAAGAAAGATAGTAATACGTTGGCTCAGTCTGTATCGTTCAAAAAACAGAAATATGACGGACTTTAGAAACCTGCTATACAGTCTATCCATACCACCTCCCCATCCACAACCCCATCCCATTAATCGCCAATAGAGAACTGTTACAAATATGACATTGGGTTCAGTTTTACTGATAAATGATATACCTGAAAATATTTGACATGGATTTTCTGGCCCAGTGAATTAATGTATACAGGTCTGCTTACATAGAGAAAGATAACCTACTAAATATGTTTCATGGTTGCAATGTCCTGCCCGAGTGAGAATGGCGATTCTTCCCAAGGGGAAACAACAACCCTTGTCGTGTCCACATCGCTCCATAAATCACCAATAGATCGCGCGATTTAATCCTAATGTCAAAATGGCCCGGCAGGGGGTGTGTATGGGTGTTGAATCAGGTCAAATCTCTCCCATACATCATAGTTGGTTGACTAGTGGTATGACACGTAAGTGATAGAAAATTTCTTCGACCAAAACAATGGACGCACTTTTTCACACTCCAGTGGACACTTGGACATTCCCATGACAACTTAAACCGAACATCACTATAATCTGATATGACATACACCCTCTTACATTAAGGAAATGATGAGGCCGTCAAGCGATGGAAATTATAATCGAAGCCATCTTTTACGCCACGTCGATGTTATTAGAAAATTATTTTTCCGTTGATGTGATATTCTAAATCAATTATCATGGGAGTTGACAAACAAAATGGCGGACTGCAGTGAAACACTTCCAACACTAAACGACAAAAGGTTTCGAGTTTCCGGAAGTGACTTTTTTAATACGTCATAGTTTCTACAAAAAAAAAAATTTCATCATGCAAGATAATACCATCACTAAGGGCGGGTGACCACCACAAGGGGTCGATCCGTACGAAACCCACGTCCATTAGCATATCCGGTGTATAACTCTATGATGAGAGCTACCGTGTGTTACTGACAGCACCCTGCAGTAGATACAGAGACAGTGATAACAACTGCTGCCTCGTCAATACTGCTTCATACATTTCTTTCAACCCGGATATCACAGAAAATGTTTCTCCGACCCTACTGTCGTCAGTAAACCATGTTATGCCCTTTTACTCTAATTATTTAAGGAGAACTCCTGACCTTCATTTCTGTTATACCACCACTGAGCACATTACCGTTCATCCTGACACCTCAGCTTGAGGAGGAATCACGTCAGCTGCAGGAATAGGTAGTAACCGGAAGAGGAAATGATCCAACGTATTTGGTATCCAGTCGGGTAATAGTGAAGACATTTATTGCAAATCTGTATTGACACGAAACCTTCTGAACACCTAGAAGGAATCAATGCCCTCTACCAGGTATTGAAAACTTACCACCGCAGTAAGCAAAGGCCAGATTGATTCTGGTTCATTAAACTGGACGAGGCCACGTTTGAACACCCCTTTGCAAATATTCAAATGGCTATCAAAATAAGGACGTCATTTGGCATGTCTCAGCTGTACAGCGTTACTGTATGGTCGGTCACGCTGTACAGCGTTACTGTATGGTCGGTCACGCTGTACAGCGTTACTGTATGGTCGGCCATGCTGTACAGCGTTACTGTGGACGAGGCGCTCAAAGGTCGTCCCGAGAGAAAAGGGTTTTGTTTTAAACAAAAGAAAGTTCAAACACAAGTGCAAAACATGTTTTACGTGTTTCTTCTTCTCAAGTTTGTTGTCAAAGTACACCGATGTGTAGATTTACAGCACCTCGTTGGGGTCGTACTTCAACCGGCTTTGACAACCTATAAGTGAAGTTTATTGGCGGGACTTGTCTTCAGAGTAGCTTATTGGCGGGCACCTGTCTTCAGGGTAGTTTATTGGCGGGCACCTGTCTTCAGGGTAGTTTATTGGCTTTGCCTGTCTTAAGATTAGTTTATTGGCTTGGGTCTGTCTTCAGGGTAGTTTATTGGCTTCGGTCTGTCTTCATGGTAATTTATTGGCGGGCCCATGTTGTCAGGGTAGTTCATTGTCTGTTGCCTGTCTTTTGGGTATTTTATCGGTTGGGGTCTATCTTCAGGGTAGTTATTGGCTGGGGTCTGTCATCATGGTATTTTATCGGTTTGGGTCTGTGTTCAGGTCAGTTTATTGGCTGGGGTCTCTCTTCAGAGCAGTTTATTGGTTGGGGTCTGTCTTCAGGGTAGTTTATTTGATGTTGCCTGTCTTCAGGGCAGTTTATTGGCGGGCACCTATCTTCAGGGTAGTTCATTGTCTTTTGCCTTTCTTTTGGGGTATTTTATCGGTTGGGGTCTGTCTTCAGGGTAGTTTATTGACTGTTGCCTGTTATCAGGGTAGTTTATTGACTGTTACCTGTTATCAGAGTAGTTTATTGGCTGTTTCCTGTTATCAGGGTAGTTTATTGGCTGTTGTCTGTCTTCAGGGTAGTTTATTGGCTTGGGTCTGTCTTCAGGGTAGTTTATTGGCGTGGGTCTGTCTTCAGGGTAGTTTATTGGCGTGGGTCTGTCTTTAGGGTAGTTCATTGTCTTTTGCCTGTCTTTTAGGTATTTTATCGGTCGGGGTCTGTCTTCAGGCTAGTTTATTGGCTTGGGTCTGTCTTCAGGGTAGTTAATTGGCTGTTGCCTGTCTATAGGGTAGTTTATTGGCTTCGGTCTGTCTTCAGGGTAGTATATTGGCGGGCCCATGTCGTCACGGTAGTTCATTGTCTGTTGCCTGTTTTTGGGGTATTTTATCGGTTGGGGTCTGTCTTCAGGGTAGTTTATTGGCTGGGGTCTGTCATCAGGGTATTTTATCGGTTTGGGTCTGTCTTCAGGTCAGTTTATTGGCTGGGGTCTCTCTTCAGAGCAGTTTATTGGCTGGCGTCTGTCTTCAGGGGAGTTTATTTGATGTTGCCTGTCTTCAGGGCAGTTTATTGGCTGGGGTCTACCATCAGGGTAATTTATTAACTGCGGTCTGTCTCCAGTATGGTTCATTGGCGGGAACTACGTAACTATCGATACCATTTGGATTCCATCTAACAAAGCCCATGATGACCCTTTACATATTTGGTTAATGATAATAGAAGACATATAGGACTGAATGATACTACACAATGTTGCCCTGTAAGGGTACAATATATTCCTGAAGTATACGTAATGGAGACTCATGTCAAACTCAGAAAAGTATGTGATTCTTTAGTTGATAATACGTAAACCATTGTGGAAAGGGGTTTAATCATATGTACAAACTGTATAACACAGCTTTATAGCTGGAATTCAAGTCCTTATACAGACCAATAAAGTCGTTACATACACCATGTATAACCCAGCACTGTAGCTGGAATTCAAGTCCTTATACATGTTATATGTAACGACTTTATTGGTCTGTATAACCCAGCACTGTAGCAGGAAATGAAATCCACAGACGGACTAATAAAGTCCCTACAGATGTTGTTGATGTAGATTAAAATGGCGACTGATTTGTGTGTTTCAGAAGTGCGGCAAACCGATGGACTCTTGCATTCCTGACGTGACCGAGTGTTGTAACAACATGCAGTGTCTCAACAAGGCCCACAGCTACTGTCTGTACCCTCTCGAGATGTGCTTGTGTATATCCCCAACCTCGCACAACGTCGACATGCTCTAAATCACGTGATAATCCATAAAAACCAACTGTGTTAAGCCGTTAGGAGCATTGATCATTATAATACATGAACAATAAACATTTTGTGAGAAAACAAAGCTAAGTGGTATGTGAAGTAATGAAAAGACGATTACCAGTGCTCATTTGGTATATTTTGATTCTCTTTACCTAAGAACTCTTCCCTTACAGAAGCAATAAGATATTATGTAATGTTTACTGATGACAGTCATTCTCATGCGCGTAGTGATACATCATGTACATATGTGTACGTCAACAACCTCGGGGTTTCCATTGCTATTTTCGGACGTAAACAGAAGTACCGGGGATACGAGATTTGTAACTCGGGTAAATTAATCATTTCGCCTATTATTCAATTTACCTGAGTTCCATTGCAGTTATCACCCGATAACCTACACTAAATAGAAAGTTAGTCCGGAATACACTACATTGAATGTTGTCAGTGATTGATATTAGAAACTTTCGTGTGTGATTTCCGCACAAGTACTACACTTAAAACAGATTAATTATAAATCTATTAAATTCGATTTATACGTATTACCGTGTTATTGTCGTGTTATTTTTTTACCTGAGAGGTTATGTCTCTAATATTGTTGTACACGTGCAGAGACATCGACACTGTTATTCAGTTCTCCTATTTATTGAATCTTCTCTATAAAACGTAAAGAAACCTGTGTTGTATAATTTTATTTTAAATACCTGAAAATAAACACGTTTTTCACATTTCGTTTTGTAGAGACTAAATACAACTGATGATAAATACGTCCCCTGATTACTCCATCAGAGGCCTACAGACACATTCAATACCCCGGATAGTCAAACAGTCAATATAGCTGGTTATCAAACGTATGGTCGGTCATGCTGTACAGCGTTACTGTATGGTCGGTCATGCTGTACAGCGTTACGGTATGTTCGGTCACGCTGTACAGCATTACCGTATGGCCGGTCACGCTGTACAGCGTTACCGTATGGTCGGTCACGCTTTTACAGCGTTACTGTATGGTCGGTCACGCTGTTCAGCGTTTGTACAGCGTTACTGTATGGTCGGTCATGCTGTACAGCGTTACTGTATGGTCGGTCATACTGTACAGCGTTACTGTATGGTCAGTCATGCTGTACAGCGTTTGAACAGCGTTACTGTATGGTCGGTCATGCTGTACAGCGTTACTGTATGGTCGGTCATACTGTACAGCGTTACTGTATGGTCAGTCATGCTGT